CTCTATCTCTCTTTCCTTCCATCCTCTCTCTCTCTTTCCTCCCTCCTCTCTCTCTCTCCTCTCCTCTCTCTCATCTCCCCTCCCTTTCCTCTCTCGTATCTTTCTCTATCCTCTCTCTCCTCTTTCTCCTCTTTCTTTTCTCTCTCCTCTCCACCCTCCCTCTCGCCTCTCTCCTCCCTCTCTCTCTATCCTCTCCTCTCTCTCCACACCACCTCCTAGCATTCCACCACATCTATCATCTTCTGGTATCCCTCTTAGGATTCAGACACACAAGGTGCCTTGTACATGTAGACAACAGATCCTTTCAAGTATACTAGTAAATCAACAGAATACAAAAATGAGGATCTTTCACAATTTTTTGACAGGGCAATGCGAAATTCTCTTTACAATCGTATTAAATCTGAATAAAATGTAACAGACATACATTGCAGACTATCATTTTTTTTACAGTGTCTGATAACTTACGCGGACATCAAGTGTTCATTTTGAATGAATGGACGGGGGCCGTGGTAAACAAGACAGTTTTTGACACGAGTGATAAAAAAGGCGAGGGCGTCGAAGCAGCACAAGACCTGACAAACTTTCTGCAAGGTGTTCCAGAGGTACGGAATTCATTAATTGTGCACTTTGATAAAATTATCTAAGTATATCATCTTGTCACACAACTTATAAGATTGATCCGCAAAAGGAAACTTAGTTTGTGCTTAACCGGTTCCTGGAAATGTACATTTGACAGCAAATTATAAAATTTGTCCGTTTGTGTTAACGAAGCATAAAGCGCGGAGTTAAAAAAAATGTTTTAACGGTCTAACCTTATTTTCTTAACCTTAGCCTTATTCTAATATCGCTTTCCGATCACTGTTTGCCTTGGGAGAATGTCGCATATATTTATGTTTGCCTTCGCAGAAGGAAAACATTGTTTTTGCTCGTTTTCTTCTTCTGTTCCACACGCATAAGGTCAATGACCTAGACCAGATGTCTGTCACCATGGTAACTGGTGCCGTTGCAAAATCCCTGTGGTGTTGGGTTACATTATGTTGCTAGTTGCAGGACAGAGTTGGAATAGTGTCACAACATATATGAATGTGTTGACTGTTAGGAAAGAATAAACAGAGCGGTAGTTTGTTAGGTTATACAATGTGAATGTAGATATTATTCATTTGCTTTTTAAATGTTACCTTCTAGTCATGTTTATAATTTCTGTACATTTCCTGCTCTTTTCATGCGGCCGTAGGGGCGAATAATAGTCATTGTTGTTCATAGCGACGGCGCTACCAACGTGGACAATGAGCCCAATTTAACACCTTACGGATCTACAACAACTCGATTAGGTGTAGTATATCTCGTCAATACCCTAACATCATCAGAACATATTGTATACTGTACTAACGATCATGCATTGGTAGAATTGAATATATATCTAAACAATCTCTTTAATTATTAATAAATAATGTCCTTTTGTTTGTACGATATGTGAGTTTGTATATAATCATGCATTGGTAGAGTTGAATATGTTTTGACATCTTATGGTAGGATATAGAGAGTCCTGGACCTTCATCACCCAGAAAGGGACGACTCCCTGTTGGTTTGTAGAGGATACGAGTGCTCGATTTGAAGGTCCGACTAGCGTAGAGGCGTTCATACCAACAGGTAAAGGAGCAACACAGGTCATATTTTCTACTTCTCGATTCGTCTTCAAGTTGTATGTAAAACCACAGGCCGTATCGTAGAAAGCGTTACAGCTGGTGAATAATCATCAGTAAAAGCACTTCGTTCGCTTTACTCACTCGGAGATTTATTCGGTAGCTATAGCAACTTATTGTGTGGCTGTTTTCACATTCTGTGAAAGTTTTACCATCTGGGCTCAATCTAGTGCAGCCGAAGATCCCCCGTGAATGTATTAATTGTTGCTTTTATACTCTGTGTTTCTGTCTCTATTTAGGTGGATTTCCAGGAGTGTGTGTTGACCCACCTGTCCAAGCCAACACCACCGGGCCTGTGTGTAACTGTCCTTACGTGCTGGGGGAGAACTGCACCTACCCATGTTCCCCGGGATATCACGTCATTTCCGGTGATGTCATAACTAGAACATGTACGTCAAACGGATCATGGACAGAGACGGGTCTTTTCTGCCAAGGTACGGAAGGGAGACAAAACTAGAAATGGTGTGAAATGAATATCCGAGAAGGAAAATGTTATTCGACAGCATGTCCAAAATCCAAATCAGTTGCAGTTCCTTCATTTAAAGGGTCCTGTCTCTATTAATGTTGATAGAAATCACTGTTAGTTCATGATAGCATAATAGACAATGATAACTAATCCTGCATCTAAAAGTCTGTATAACTGTCTGTAGATATTGACGAGTGCGCCATTCTGAATGGCGGCTGTGACCAGAACTGCACCAACACTATCGGAAGTTACGTCTGTTCCTGTAGTGAAGCCGGGTTCGCAGTGGACTGGAGTGGACATAACTGTGCAGCTGGTAAGGCCCACTTGTACTCACTTTGCCCTTTTACAGGCCGGCTTTGGGCACATGTATGATGAACGAATGAATACACCACGCTAAATGGGGACCCGCAAGCCCTTTTCCGTCTAGCGTAATCGGCCGTTTTAATTCTACGTAGAGCGTAGACGGACTGCTCTACTTCAACGTAGAGCGTAATTGGCGCATTTGCGAAGAGCGTATTCGCCGTTTTAATTCTACGTAATGCGTTGTGGCCACTTGGAATTTATCGTAAAGCGTATTCGAGAAGTTTCCGAATTCAGCGTAGAGCGTTGTCGGGATGCCCCCCCCCCCCGAGAAAAATGTTTAAAACTATACGTTCTATGATTGTGTTAGGATACTCAAGGCCAGTATTTTATCACTGCTCGAATCTGGTCTTGGACACAGTGAAAATACATAGATGTGTTTCCTGTATTGACTTGCCATCGTTTTAGGGACGATTCAATGTCTGTAATGTCTGTCTTCGATGGATGCAAACAACTTCAAGTTTAGAAATTTCTTTACAGCGTGTCCAATATCAGGCTACGTCAGCTTTAACGGAGTTTGCTATAAGTACTTTTCTGATGAGAGGGAGGATTACGAAGAGGCAACGCAGAGGTGTGCTGCGGACGGCGGTCTGTTGGCCATGCCGAAAGACAACGCCACCAACACTTTCCTCGCCAATCTGAGCACGAGGAATCGCTGGGTCGGTGTGACTGATGCAGTCATTGAAGGGCAGTGGGTGTTTCAGGACGGCGAACCCCTGACGGCAGTCCATTATTCCAATTACCTGACAAACACACTGACGCCCGGTAGCAACAGCCATGACTGCGCCTATGTGTGGTGTAATGGCAGGAAGGGGAGCAGCCTGAGGAAAGCTCAGTGTGGAAACCGCCCATTTTTCATGTGCCAGACAGATCCAGGTTTGCGTTAGAAACACATATTCTTATCATGAATATATATATTTCAAAACAACCTATATATCTACATCTCTGTCTCGTTATGTTGTATTTAAAACCACACACACACACACACACACACACACACACACACACACACACACATACAT